GACGACCAAATTGAAGTGCACCTTAGGCCAGTGTAGTGATGCCAGCATTCGTATTCACTGACCCATTTACTGATACACACAGTACTTCTGATTAACATTATAAATTTCCGGTTGTTGAGCACAATTGGCGATGAAATAAAAATGTACGTGGCAGTTGTCTCTGCCTTGTCCTACAACGTAAGGCATTCTCTACACGAACAAATGTTTTTCATTAATTTATCGTTTATATCACGGTATTGTTTAAATTAACTATTATATAAATTAAGAAACGGCTTAATTTCGTGGAAATTTATAATAGCTATAGCTTTATTAACACCCTTCCTTGTTTGTTTACTGTTTTTGGAAATTCTTCGTTTTATTACTGAAAACATTTTCAGCATAACAACTATTTAATGCGTATACTTCCTAATAAATAGGAAAATAATGAAATGTTTTTTATCCAGAGTGGAATTAAAATTTCATTTCAGAAATACAATTTGCAGATTTATATTACAAAAATTTTCCATAAAATAGAATGACTTTAAAATTAAAAGCCTTGCTTCGTTTGAAAACTCTATCGCGATCATGGGCACAGACGTAGTCAGAATATTCTTTTTGGAGGAGTTCAAAAAACTACGCCCATTTAATGTTTCGTTTGCACCCCTAGACTTATATATGTGTCTAGCCGACCTTTGAAACCGGCAGTGAACATGGTTAAATATTCACTTTCGCTTTTCTTTCCGAGCTTTTGGTCTTTTCGATCCAATGTTGAGTGCAATTGTATTTCTCTTCGTAGTAAATTTAATTGGATAAATCCTTGTTTCGACCCCATTTCGTATAGTGACTATTTCGTTCAGGATTTTAATGTACGCGACATGGTGACAGTAAACTTTACAAGTTCAGTCTTATCGAGTTCTTGTATTTTTACTGGGATCGTTCAGTAGCAGTCTGGTCCCGATAGACATTCGAAGAGGAGAAACTAGAGATGGGAAAATCCTTGATTACAACGTTGATATTATTAGATTATAAGCCCGAGGAAAGGTCTGCCAGACTAGATTACGGAAATCAGTTAAGCTCCTATCTTCACATCGAAAACAAACGTTTCCCGGATTAGTATCTACTCCTACTGCTATTATTACTGCAACCGTAAGGGTACAGCTATTTTTCCTACACTTAACAAAATTGTCCTGTTAAAATTAACACAATCGCAATATTTGCGCTCTATTTCACAATTCTATATTGTTTCCTAACTTTATTTCTACACTATGTCACTCAAGCGAAAGCCGCCCTTTTCAGTAAACAGTTCTCAATTATTTTATTCGATGCTATTATTTTACAGTTAGGTCTCGTTACTTGCAGCTTACATATATAGTTAGAACGTTCAAAATTGATATAATCTGCAATAAAACTAATAAAATAATTCGGAGTGGTCTGTATTCTATCGAAACTGCCAGACGCGGATCGCGATCTCTATCTTTTTGGATCTCATCAGCGCGTCGTAGTCAGCTCAGTCACAACACAGACCAACTTTTACCTGCTGTCTTAACAGCGCGTTTTAGAAAATACCACAAAGGGCGCGGTAAACGCCATCTGTAGTACGATGCTACATTTTAGGATTACGTATGCTCCAACAAGGTCCATTTAAATATATGGATATCTACTTGCTGAAACGAATCCCGGCGTAGCTAACCTCAACGTGATAGGCACGTTACCATAATCGAATAAAATAATTCGAAGTGGTCTGTATTCTGTCGAAACTGCCAGACGCGGATCGCGATTTCGATCTTTTTGGATCTCATCAGCGCGTCGCAGACAGCTCCGACAGAACACAGACCAACTTTTACCTGCTGTCTTAACAGCGCGTTTTAGAAAATACCACAAATGGCGCGGTAAACGCCATCTGTAGTACGATGCTACATTTTAGGATTACGTATGCTCCAACAAGGTCCATTTAAATATATGGATATCTACTTGCTGAAACCATAATCGAATATGGTAACGTGCCTATCACGTTGAGGTTAACTACGCCGGGATTCGTTTCAGCAAGTAGATATCCATATATTTATAAGGACCTTGTTGGAGCATACGTAATCCTAAAATGTAGCATCGTACTACAGATGGCGTTTACCGCCATTTGTGGTATTTTCTACAATAAAACTGTCTCATTTACTTTCTTCTTTCAACTTATTAACTAAACTAGAGCGGCTGCTGACGGAACGTCTATTTTTACTCACGACAGGCGTTATATAGGAATATCGTAAAGAAAGAAAAGGGATGTCAGGTATGAATTGCAGCGGACACTTATAAAGAAAAGGGATAGCATTACACCAATTGATGTGTTATAGAAAGAGATGCAGTCCCAAGCGGAAAGGAGAGAGAAATAACATTACCAATTTTGATAATCCCAACTATATTTTTCTAATTAATAAATTGCACAGTTATTTCTTCAACAAATTAAATATTGTTCGAACAAATACGTGGATATTGATATTTGAAAAGATTGATTTGAATTAATTATATACGTTCGAACTTTAAAAAAAGCCATACAATAATAATTTTATTATTCTTGGCAGTGAAACAAACAACTTTGTGCTTATAGTAATTTGTGTAGCATTTGGTTTTGTATGTGGTAATCTTCTTGTGGATGCAACTTGTTCTGTATTCTGACTGTGAAGTCGCACAATTAGTAAACATAACCATTAAACTGACAAAACAGACCGACAAGAGGTAAAGAGAACAAGGTAAGGAAGAGAATCTAGCGTGCTGTGGTAATATAATGCCAGTGCCAATAGCGTAGTTGAATGTAAGATACTTACGCATTTCATTTAGCGTAAAATGTCTTCGTTGGGGTTTTCCCCCTCTCGACTGCTTTGTTTGCTTTTACTTGATGATGGAAATACCTACAATGATCCGGATCATTTGATTTAGTTAATTTATCAAACGCTTTGACAATCACCATGTGAACACTATCAAAATAATTAAAACTACGTACATAGGTAATAAAAAATCCAAAATTTTACGTTATCAACAGAATCTGTAGGAACCAAATGTTAAATTCATTAACGTAAATGCAGGCTACGACCCACGAGATTCTCAATTGCCTCTACTACATATGGGAAATTTTCATTTTTCTTGCATATTGTTTAAGAACGTTTTCAATGCATTATGTAATAAAAAGTCGATCGGTTGATTGTGACGGTGATCAAAATATCGATAGCATGTAAATTGGGAACTGTTGTGGAATATGAAACGAATCAAATGAACGAGTTGGCTGGCAGGTTTATTGGCTTTAGGGGAAATGCTACAGAACCACTGCTCTCACTGTTACTAGTGCTCCTGTTAGCTGTCATGAGGCGTTGAACACTGAAACGTCGACATGAAGGAAGAAAACGAAGAAGCCGAAAAGTTGACTTGCTAATTAAATGTCTATTCGCTAGAACTTTTGCATTTCGTAAAATCCGTTGGGAAAATAGCAAATTGTCAAAATTTCTTTTCAAATTCAAATACACTTTTTCCTGTAGCATTCCGCGATATTTCTCTAGTACTTATCTATTATTTTTAACTAAGCTATAAACATCAAAAGGAAAACAAATAGCGCCCCTAAAAATGCTTAAACTGAAGGATCTAAAAGAAAAATACCTTTACATTTGCAATCTACATCGAGATAAATCAATTCCAGGAACAAAATATCAAAAATTCAGAAATGTTTTGGATCTACCTCGTTATTTTACGATAATTTGACTGCACTAAGTAACGAGTTATTTAATTATTTTGGAATAGATTGTATGTAGTTTCATTCATACGTACAGTGTGGAAGCAACGTATATAAGTTGTTAATGTTGGAGGAAATTCCATCAGGGGAATTGTCTTGTACAATTCATGTTGTGGCAGGCAGTAGCACCGATGTGCCACAGTCCGCGAGCGTCGCGATGTCAGAACTTGCGGATATATAAAACAGCCACCGTTTTATGTCACGTCAAATTTAAATAGGAAACACAACTCCTTACTTGTATCTTTCGCACAATATTACATCGATTTGGATCAATTATTAAACAGAAATTACCAGAAGCAGCTGAAATAGGTCTAGTTACTAGGCTAAATTCCAATTTTCTCAATTTCCAACTGGCAAATTTAGTTAAAATAAAACAGAGGGTAATTGTAGAAGCTTCTATTTTAGTTTGCCAGTAGGTCGTGCAGTCTATAAAGTTTCGATATCTAAATATAATTTACTTTCTATTTGAAAAGTATTTAAAGTTCCCTGAAGGAAATTCAGTAAAACAATTTACATAGATAAACTGAGAAATCCAATATTTATTATGGTATTGCACGAAGGATTATGTGAAAATCTCCGTTAAAGTTGCTTATTCCAATCTCAAGCCTATAATCCTTTTCATACGAAGCGTTGATCGGTTAGTTTGATCGACTGCTCAAAGCAAAACTTTCGAAAAGATCAAGGTGAGGTAATAAAAATAAATTTAAAAAACAAACGCAGGCGACTCAACCGATTGATTATAAATCAAATTACATGCCAAAAAATGTTCATATAAGTCAAAATTGGTCGAATGTGAAACTACTATGCGTAGGGTTGATATCGTCTGTGAAAAAGTTATAGGATTCTGGCTGAACGAAGAAAATCACACATCCAATTTTGTGTTATCAAGATAAAACTTTTTTCTACGGTGGCCCGTTTCGGTTTAGAAAAAGTATCACGAATTAGCCCTTCTGTTTAAGTATCCAATATTGGTTTGCACCCTTCAAAAAACCGAAGAAAAATTCTTTGTCAGCATGTTGTAATCAGGTCAACTTAATCAGTGGCAGACAGCTGATTTCTAATCTCAACTTATTAATGTTTCTCAATTTTATGATAAAGCGGTATCTAACGAAGAAAAAAGCCACGAAAGGGAAATAATACTCCACACAACAATTTATTGCTATCTAGCAAAAACTAAAATCATATTCGGTTGGCATGAATCGTGAATCGTCAATCTGACGTCAAAGGAATTAAGAACAATTTGTTTTACCTTATATGTGCCTAAGTTTTTGACTGAGCAGGCAAATTTGACATTCCTTCCGGCAGCTACAGTTATGTTTTCGATAACATCCGTGAACTCAGGTTCTTCTGTAGCAGGCGTCGCAATAGCCGATGTTGCAACTAAAACAAACGTTTATATTAATTGTGTTATTAATATATTTACAATATTTCAATACAGTTTCGGGGTTTTCTGTCATTTTTAAAAGTATCGTATATAAGACTATAGGCGCAAATGGCTTTTTAGGGGGTGGTTAATCATTTTGTTAACAAACCTGCTGTTAGACAAATAAAACATATTATAAACAGAAACAAGAGTTATGGAAAGAAGAGGTGATGAAAAATAAAACAATATAAGTCATTTAATTAAGTTTCTTTTTCTATTATATCGCTGTTTTTTATAATAAAAAATATATTTTGGGAGAGTGCTTTTAGTATCCAGTGGCGCTTAGTTAAATGGGACAAGATGTTAAATATACTTAAAAATGTAGGGATGAATTACGAAGATAGAAGAGTGATACTTAGTTTGTATAAAGAACAACAAGCACTTATAGAAATGGGGATGCAACGTAGAGAAGTAAATATTAGGAAGGGAGTTAGGCAGGGATGCACACTGTCACCGCTACTTTTTAATCTATACATCGAAGACGCCATCAACATCATTAAAGACAGTACAACTGTAGGGATAGATGTGCAAGGGCAAAAGATTAGTATGCTTAGATTTGCAGATGATATAGCAGTATTAGCATCTAGCAAGGAGGACCTAGAGATAGCTTTAAATAAAATGGAAGCGGTACTGACAGATCAGTACTGTATGAAAATAAATAAAAGTAAAACTAAAATACTGGTATGCAAGGGAAGAAAAAGTAGGGAAAGAGCGAATATAAAGATAGGAGACGAAAAATTAGAAGAAGTGGCTGATTTTAGATACCTAGGAAGTCAGATAAGTGAGGATGGAAGGAGTAGTAGGGATATAAAGCAGAGGATAGCGCAGGGTCGTGTCGCCTTTAATAAAAAGAAGTCACTTCTATGCTCGCGAACGGTTAATTTAGAAATTCGAAAAAGGTTGTTAAAGGTGTATGTTTGGAGCACGGCGTTGTACGGGTGCGAAACATGGACAGTGGGAGCGGCGGAAAAGAAAAGGTCAGAAGCGTTCGAAATGTGGTGTTATAGGCGGATGATGAGGATATCATGGGTAGAAAAGGTTAGAAATGAAGAGGTATTGGAGAAAATAGGAGAACAAAGGACTCTATGGAAGTCAATAAAGGTTGGTAGGACACTTTCTCAGGCATGAACGTCTAGTCAGAGACATATTAGCGGCAGAAACAGGAGTTAGGAGGGGTAGAGGTAGACCTAGATTAGATTACTGTTCGGAAATAGTTAAGGATGTGGGCTGTTCTAGTTTTAGGGAAATGGAGGTACGTGTCCAACCAGTCTTAGGACTGATGACCTTATGATGATGGCGCTTAGTTGCGCCTATATATAAGACATATACAGATGTGCTATGTTGAGCGATATGCAACAAAAAAAATTGGTGAAAATGATAACCAAACCAGAAATGGAACTCTTGAAAATTATTTATGCATAGTTAAGAGAGCAAATTCTCATTTCGCGAGACGTTACGAAACGACAATTCGGTTTTATTTTCTGTATTTCTGTTAGTCGAAGAGAAAGGAAGGCAGAAAACTAAATTAGGGAAGCATTAGGTGGCAGCTTTGATTGTATTACTAAACTCGAGACTTTTCCTTAGAGCGCTTTGCTTAAGTTTGCTTAAGGGTCTGTGAGTTACATTTCAAGAAGCCATTTACATATAAGGTAAATTCAAATTAAATACAACACTACAGTCTAATCAGGAACGTCAACTCAAATACGTACACCCTCGCCATGGAAATGTTTTTTTAATTTTGTCTCTTATTCAGGGAAAAAAGGCTCGTTTGTTTTGGCCTTGACATAGAAAACTAAATAATTTAAATGCCTACCGTCGTTTTATATTTTATAGAAAAATCCGTTCTGAAGCTTCTTGCACGCGCGTATATCCGATATTTAGATAGATATTACCTTTTAAAATACTTATAAGTATTCATTAAGTTGGAAAGTAAAAAATAACAATAGAAGTTAATAAACTGATCGCGAATATGAAAGACAAGTCAATAAAAGATGGTTTTGCTTTTCGTCATTAATTTTTTGCGCATAGGATTTGAGATACTTAATTTAGGTGCCTTTATAATATGAAAAATAAAAGACTCTAAGCAGAAAAATGGCAAGAAAAAAAACGAAGCTATTATAGTCTGCGTTCTTTTTCATAAAGGGGCTATTTAGGAACATTAAAACTGATCTTTTCCCTTTCAACTTGCACGGCAATCTTAGGGAGTTAAAAACTCATCAATTTCAAAGACTTTGCGGAAATTATCCTGACAATCGAAAACGACACCATTCTTCTCTTATAATAGGTCGCAGGAAAACATTAAAACAATGTCGAAAATGTGAACTTTATTAGAAAAAGACTACAACTTTCGAAAACTTTAAACATTACAAAATCATCCCCTCAAAATGAATGCATTTCAAAGCTTACAATGCCCTATTGTTACAATCTTTATTGTATCTATGCAATATGTCAATGTTCATGTGATTACTAAGCAAAAGTAGATAGAATCAAAAGAACAATGCCAAGATAAACAAAAAAATCTAATTTAATGGAAAAAGCTGTAATAATATAACAGAAAGGAGCTGATGGCTCACAACAAGAGAAAGTGACATATTTACTATTGGAAAATGATTCAAAAACATAGTACATAGAGATAATTACCTCTAAAACTAATTAGCTAGCAGCAATATTGATAATTAATAGACATAGCCTTAAATAAAATAAAAGCGGTATTGGCAAAATGGTAAATAAAGTAAAACAGAAATATTGGTCTGTAAGGTAAGAAAAAGCGAATATAAAGATAGCAGACGAAAAACTAAAAAGTCAGATAATTCAGGATGGAAAGAGCAGTAGGGATATAAAGGATAACTTTTGAAATGTGTTACAAGCGAATGATGTTAGAAATCAGGTTTTAGAAAGGGTAGGAGAACAGAGTTAATAAAAAATAGACAAGATAACTTGGTAGAACACGTTCTAAGGCATAAAGGCATAGGTAGAAATATGTTGAAAACAGATAGAGGAGTTCAGAGAAGTAGAGGTTAAATAACAATTCACATACAGTAGAGGATGAGGGATGTTCTAGTTTTAGCTAAATTTAAAGGTTAGTTCAAGATAGGAATTGACGTCTGCGATTCGCTTCTCAAACGTCACGAAAATGATCCATTTTTGAAGCGCATCATCACTGGGGACGAAAAATGGGTTGTATACAACAACGTCAAACGCAAGAGGTCATGGAACAAAAAAGATGGACTGGCTCAAACCATTTCCAAAGCCGATATTCACCAAAATAAGGTGATGCTGTCTGTTTGGTAGGATTTTAAAAGAATCGTTTTTTTTTGAGCTTTTACCGGATAACACAACGATTAATTCGGAAGTCTACTGTCATCAGCTGGACAAACTGAATGATGCACTTCAACAGAAAAGGTCAGAACTAATCAACATGAAAGGTGTAGTGTTTCACCAAGACAACGCGAGACCTCACACAAGTTTGGTCACTCGCCAAAAGCTTTTACAGCTTGAATGGGATACAATGCAACACCCACCATATTCTCCAGACGTGGCACCATCGGATTATTATTTGTTCCGGTCACTCGAAAATTTTTTAGACGGTAAAACCTTCACCTCAAATGAGGAGGTCAAAAACCTCCTCGATCAGTTTTTTGCCAGCAAAGACCAAAAATTTTATGAGCGTGGAATTATGCTACTACCAGAAAGATGGCAAAAGGTGTTGGACCAGAACGGTCAATATATAATTTAATAAAGTATTTGTTTATTATACGAAAACTGTCTTTCATTTCCACAAAAAAAAAACGAAATGACTTTCCGAACAACCATAGATATCCCACCTGAACTGTTGTAGGGCATGCCCTGTTTTGGAATCATAGTACCTAATCCACTTTGAATATCAACATGTTACTTGCAACGTAATTGCACTAACAAAAACGTAAATTTTAATGAGAAATTTGTAGTAGGCCAGTTTGCATTTCCTTATTATTGCTACATAATTTAACGTGTTTGGATTCCGTTTCAGTTGAATTCAGTCTAGAACTGTAGCTAGTTAATCTTCGCGTCTATGTTTAAACGTTCAAACGGAGTGAATTAATTCACAAGTAGGTATAAATATATTATTTAAACGTATTAAATATTCAATTTGAAATGCGGACTGGTCGTAGTTAGCGCGGTTTGTACCGCCGCTTTCATTCTTCCGTGCAAACAGAAACTTATATAAAACCCTTGAAAAAGGAGAGGCCAACAAACACAAATCTACATTGACCACTTTACAATTAAACTTATAAGATGCCTAATACATTACACACTATCCTTTTATTAATTAAGGACGTCTTTAGAGAAAAATTTATAAAAATCGTCATTGCATATGTGAGTTGAGCTGACCATAATGGACAATTTTAATTTGTTTTCCAAAAGTATTTTAAAGGAAAAATTATTTTGGTATGTAGTCCACATTTTTACCAACATCCACGATATAATTCGATAAAGATGCGGCATTTGTCCGTGTTCTTATTTCGTCTGATACAGGCCGCCGTAACTTTTTCGAGCCGTTGGCTAACTTAGTTTAAATTTCCGTACTCTTAAACAAGCACCTATTATAACAAACAACAGAAAAAAATCACTTGCTTCCAAACAAAGTTAAGAAAATAATTTTCAACTTTAATTTCAGTTTCCTTTTGTTGGGGCCTAATTTCATATTTTACGGATTCTTTGCCTACTTTCAAAACGATTCCGCTGTTTTCCTTTGAAGAGCAATTTCTTTCTTCAGTTTTATTATAAACAAGAAAAACTTTTAATAACTCGCCAATTAATATTCTATTCTAGAACCGAACATTTCTTGCTACAACATCTTATTAAATTCGCTACCTACCAACTACATTTTTTATTCTTTTCACTATTTACTTATATCAAAACCTTAAATTAAATCTAACTGTTATCATTATTAATCGGAAAATTATATGTTCGCTAT